ATAAGCCTGTTTTACCACAATGCTAGGGTATTGTGGATGTTGTCACAGCATCGCTACGGGGTTGCTGAGGTTTTCTGATTGTTCATTAGCTAATTGCTTTGGCATTGTGAGTGTTTTATGGGTGGTTTCTATGTGGTTGCTTACTGGCTTAAATCAAAATGTCGTAAGTCATGATCTTCTAGGCCCTAAACATGGGAATTACAGTATTTTCTAGGCCTGCATGATGTATGCGGGGAAAAATTAATTGCAATTTTTCTGATAAAAATTGTGATAGTGAATTAAAATGTGATAATGTGCTTGTTTGTAGGGCTGCACAATTTGGGATTTTGAGATTATATATCAATATGTATTTTTTATATTTGTATTTATTATTATTATTAATAATAATTATTATTATTATTATTACTATTATTATTATTATTATTATTATTATTATTAAATAAAATATAAAACATACTAAATAAAAATATTACATTATTATAAAAATATTATTTGAAACTTGAAAATTCAGTTTTTTTTTTAAATTGTGCAGCCCTAGTGTTTTCAAAAGCTGTTAAAAGTTATAGGCAAATTAAATAGAAAATCCAATTAAGTAAAGTAAGCAAAGGCACTCCTATCCTTAACTCAATTTGCTCAATTTAAAGCTCAATTTAATGTATTACTCTTTTCCATTTATAACTGTGCAGGACAAGTTACACTGAAAAAAAAAAATGTGTATAAATACAAATATGAATGTGTGTGTTCTATGTTGTAACATTTAAATTAATACATTTTTAATTAAGTCAAATATATTATTCAAAATCTCAGGATCAACCTACCTAAATTAGGTTACACCACCAAAACTAAATTTAAGGTAATATTATAGCTTGTTATTCCCCCCCCCCCCCCACTATCCCAAAGTATGAGCAATAGGCCTTTGCATTGGCAAACACCTCTAATAAATTAAATCAATGAAACGCTCTTTCATTCAGTACTCAAACAAAAAACAATGCAATAAATGCAAAATGCATTATTTTGTTGGCAATTAGAAAACAGTCTACAAAACGACTATTTACATAGCAGTATGAGGAGCTACGTCAATATTCTGTTAAAAAAAAAAAAACTCTTATTATTGCTGCATTCTTTCAGAGCGATGAGGCGAGGTTTCCTGAGGTTTCATCGTTACCTGATCGGAGCTCTCAGCATGAGGGAAACGTCTAAGCAAAAAGGGCTGAATCCCATCATTGTGCAGGATCACGGAATACCTGATGGCTCACACACGAAAACGCAGCCGCCATGATGGACAGGAACGCAATGTTGTTATTGAAAACACACAAAAGTTTAGCGGGCTGGCTGGTATCACTCTACCAAAGACATGCTCTTGGGGCGTGGGACGCGGAGTCGGCAGAAATATTTTCCTCCCAGTTAAAAGACTCCTACAGTCCTTTTTTATACTATTTTTTAAGAAACACTCCTTTTAAAAGGATTGTTGTTTTTTTTTAACATTTGTGAGATAATTTCTGAGGTCATTTTCCATTAATTAATTTGTGTCTCTGGCTAAATTTCACAATTTTACATAGTGTTTAGATAAAGTATTTGTTTTCAGCACAAGTATGTTGACGTGAGCAGAAAAATACCACTCTTATCTTTTGATCACATTTACAAGGTTCCTTCGGAGATACACTGTGTTATTTCACAAAAGAACTATCATATCCTTAATTTTTAACGTTCCCTAATTCAGATGAAATATAGGGCCCGTCCCAAAGTCTACTGTAAAGCTGTCGAGTAATCGTCTAGAGTACAAGTAGCTGCAAAAGAGTCACCCATGAACCTTCTGAAAGCTAAAATGAAAAATTGGATGGCCTACATTGTAGGCTGTATATAAAATAAAGATTATTAGAGTTTTACAATATTTCACATTTAAAGCAATAGTTCACCAAAAAATTTAAATTTGCTGAAAATGTACTCACCCTCAGGCCATCCAAGATTTAGATGAGTTTGCTGAAATTTAGCATTACATCACTTGCTCAACAATGGATCCTCCGCAGTGAATGGGTGCCGTCAGAATGAGAGTCCAAACAGCTGATAAAAACATCACAATAATCCACAAGTATTCCACTTGACTCACGAAGCGAAAAGCTGTGTGTTTGTAGTAAACAAATCCATCAAGACATTTTTAACTTCAAATCATTGCTTTCGACTAAAATATAAGCACTTTATTCATAATATTGCTTTCGCCAGTGAAAAAAAAAAAGTCCTGTCTGAATCAGGAGAGAAATATGCACAGATCAAGCACTGTTTACAAGCGAAAACAGTAGTTCTAAACAAATAAGTCATATGGATTACTTGTGGATTGCGTGTGGATTATTGTGATGTTTTTATCAGCTGTTTGGACTCTCATTCTGACGGTACCTATTCACTGCAGAGGATCCATTGGTGAGCAAATTATGTAATTTCTCAAAATTTGTTCTGATGAAGAAACAAACTCATCTACATCTTGGATGGCCTGAAGGTTAGTACATTTTCAGCATTTTTTTTTCTCAGTGAACTATTCCTTTAATGTCATATGTTACATGGCATTCCTTTGTAATTGTTTGTGAAATGTACTAGCAATTTCTGAGTGAAAACAGTATCAAATTAAATCCTATACCTTTTTTTTTTTTTAGTCTATGGAGGCGTGGACTTCATGGACGCACGCGATTAAAGTCCATGAAACTGCAAATCCACATTTAGGGTGTTGTTTGAGAAATGGCAATTGTTAACACACTGTATGTGATATGATAGGTTGTGTTTATTTGAAAAGCAGGAACTGGCGTTCCTGAAGCTTTGCATCAGCTGCGACTACCCAAATTTGTGGCAGCCCGAGGCTTACGGTGCAGCCAGCCGTATCTTCCAGAACAGGCACTTTCCAAGCTCTCTTAACTGCGTCTGATTATTTTCCCACACCTTACAGGTTAAAACAAATGAGAACATTGACATAGACTGTATTTCATACCAATGTCGACTTGCCTGCGAGCGTGTTTATTTTGAAGGCCAGCATGCTCTGATTCAGGTGCTGAATTCCTGCCCTGAGCTGTCTGGCTTCTCCAGTCTGTATTTATTCACAGCCTGTCAATCAGTCTGGCAAGTGTTTGCCCCAAATACTGTTCTACCCCACTGAGTCCAAATATGCCAAGTGTGCTTGTTTTGGCGAGGCCATAAACACACAGGAGACCTGTTTTGAGTATGTTCAGGTAGAGGTGTTTTGTCATGAGTCACTGACTAGGCTCTCGAAGCAAATGTGATTAATCACACACTTCACACTTTTGCATGGACTTCCTGTACACTTTTGCAGAGATCAATTTGAATGTAGTTATTTTGCCATTTTACAATGCAGATTTTTAACAGGGGGAGTTTAGCACTGCCAAATAAATTAAGTAAAATATTACATATCTCACTCATGTTATTTTGAATTAATTGTTTTTTTTTTTTTTTAATAATAAAATTTTAATATTTAATATGGTAATAATTAAGCATCAAGGCACACTACCGTTCAAAAGTTTAGGGGCACTAAAAATTTAAATGTTTTTGAAATAAGTCTCCTATGCTCACCAAGGCTGCATTTATTTGACCAAAAATACAGTAAAAACAGTAAACGTGACATATGATTAGAATTTAAAGTAACCGTTTTCTATTTTAATATATTTTAAAATGGAATTTATTCCTTGGATGGCAAAACTGAATTTTCAGCAGCCATCACTACTTCAGTGTCAAAAGAGCCATCAGAAATCATTCTAATATTTTACTAATTTCTGATAATGTTTGGCCATCCAAGATTTATATGGGTTTGTTTCTTCAACAGAACAGATTTTGAGAAATTTTGCTTTACATAACTTGCTCACCAATGGTTCCTCTGCAGTGAATGGGTGCCGTCAGAATAAGCGTCTAAACGGCAGATAAAAACATCACAATAATCCACAAGTAATTTAAGTAATCCACAAGCTGCATGCTTGTAATAAACAATCCATTATTATGACATTTTTAACCATCTTATTGGTTAAAAACCAGCTATAATATGAGTCATCTAGTCTGAGTATGCTTTCTCCAGTCAAAAAGTTGTCTTGTCTGATTTAGGAGAGAAATATGCACAGATCAAGCACTATTTACATTACTGTTTAACATTGCAAAACAGTTCTAAACAAATATGTTGGTGGATTTTGATGTGAGAGGAATTTTTCACTGGAGGAAGCATTATTATGGACTCTCATTCTGACGGCACCCATTCACTGCAGAGGATCCATTGGTGAGCAAGTTATGTAATGCTAAATTTCAACAAATCTGTTCCGATGAAAAAAAAACAAACAAACACATTAAAATCGTAGTAATCATAGTCTGAGTCTAAATTTTCATTTTTGGGTGAACTATTCCTTTAAGCATATGAAAATATAACATTCATTAAATGATCTCCTTTTGTGTTCTGAAGAACAGAGAGAAAGTCATACAGTTTGGAATGACAGAATTCTCATTTTTGGATGAACTATCCCTTTAAAGAATTTTGTTAGCCACAACGCACAGCAGAGTGACTGTTCACAATACAACACGTGTCTCATATATTATATATTATAAAACATTGTTCATCACAAGCCATTTTCATAAAAAAATCTGAATTAAGACCCTGTGTTTTTATAACTGACAGCTTTCTAAATATGCTTTTCTATTTGACATAGAAAGTGCTGTCATTTCCTCTTTGAGATTGGTATGCTAAACTGTAACAGGCACAATATTTGCAATTACACTAATGAGAAAATGGAGTGAGCCTCTTTATGTTACTGAATCCATAATTTTGAGCTACACACTGAGCATACAACGCTAGTTATGGAAGTCCCATATTTATTCTATTACCGCAATGGTAGTATTTTGAGGCTTGAGAACCGCAAAGCTATTGCACTGCTGTATCGTGCGGCACTAATTGCAGAAATAATTACACATGCAACATGATGCTAACCTATTTTTGACTGCCAAAGCAATGTGGTTTTCCTTACCTTTTGAAAGAAGTCCTCACCTCCGTTGACTCGCCCCTCCGTGGCAGCTGCGGAGAAGAATGGGACATTTAAGAAAAAACGTAACATCAGGAATCACTTATGCTGGTGTATTAACAAAATCAGCAATTCATATCAACACATTCTTCCACATGGCCTTGGGAGGAAAAATGTCTGCAATTTAGGCAGGACGCGGGTCATTTACCTGTCCATTTGGAGCAAGTCGCCTCTGTAGAAAAATCAATGCATTACTACTTTTTAAAGCTTTATGCAGGATGGTAATAAACTTTGTGATGCATAATACTACATTTAGAAGGTTTAAATGAAATGTATCTTTTTAATGTGCATGGTGTGGTAGGTAAAGCTGTGGTTTCAGTTTGAACCCCATCTAGGGGTTCCTATAGTTCTTCTTGAACATCAAGCTTTCCAGACTTGTTGTCAGCTTAACCACTTAGACATAAAATATTTAGTGAAGTATCCCCTGGGATGTTAATATTTCAATAATGTAATGTCACATTTGCATGTTCATGGTTCGCTAATGGTCACATGACATGCAAGTCATCTTTTTTTGTTTTTATTTTCAAATGTTTTATAATTACAGTTAAAATATAAAAGTTATATTCTTAAATTTGTAACTTTAAAATATTCAAGCTTTTATTTTGGCAGAATACGGACTATATACTTATTTAATGAAATCCCAGCCTTTGATTTGATAATCACACTAAGCTACATCACGATTATAGTTTTATTTCAATTATTGGTGCAGCCAAATTTATTTATTTTAATTTTATATTCAGTTTAATGATTAGCTTTTCATCAACTCATTTGCGAAACCCTGTTGTAGATCACGGCACTACCAACGCTAAGTAATGAATTTGATTCCCAGACAACACTGTATAAGGTGTTCTGTATAAAAGTGTCCGTTAAATAGGAAAATGCAAAATGTAACCCACATAATACAAGGAAACTGACATGCTTGCTTGGTTTTCCAATAACATATGATTTAAATTAATCAATAAAATACAGAGACATGACTTGTTGAGCAAATTTGGATGTTGTTTAAAAACTTCAAAACCACAAAATGCAGCTGTCGATAGACGTAAACCACTTTTTTTTTTTTAGTTCAGATTTCTCCAGACCAGGAACATGACCTACATTGAGAGATGCAGGCATAGTCTTGTTGGGCCAAGCTTTAAAATATGTGTCTACTGTAATCCAGATGAATGCGACATGTTACAGATTTAATTACTGATACCTTTATTTTCAGCTTTGGATTTTGGCTAAATGAAAACGTTAATTTCAGTTTCTGAGTTTCTGTGCAAAAGTCATCTCAGTGCATCACTAGTTACTGGGTTGATATTATATAGTGGGTAGTTCCACAATTAGTTCTGGTACTATGAAAAGGTTCCCGCGGTGCGAAAGGCCCTAATGGAACCTTTCAGGCTACGTTTACACTAGTGCGCTTTTGTTTTAAAACGCATAACTTTTGCTATGGTTATGCCTGTCATTTACACTACTCCGGTGTTTTCGACCCTCGAAAACGGAGACTTTCGAAAACGCTGCAGACCCCGTTTTAGTTTGAATACTCCGGAGTTGAGTTTCAGTGTATACGGACCAAAACTGAGACTTTTGAAAACAATGGCGTGGCAACCAACATTCGCTCTGCATATCCTTGACGACTGTGTAAACAATAACATCATGCTCATTGTTGTACCTGCATGAATGGTCATGTGACATGCATTTTCGGTTGTGAAGTGTGGACGGAGATCGTTTCTGAAACGCAGTGAAAACACAAGTGTAGACGAGGATCGTTTTCATTTTAAAACGAAAACACACTAGTGTAAACAGGGCCTCAGTTCCACAAAAGGTTCTTTATAATGTTTTTTATACTCTTTAGATTATTAAAATGCTCTTCACACACTAAGTAAAAATTGTTGTTTTAAGAACTGTTCGCTAAAAGGTTCTTTTAGGAACCTAAAATGGTTCTTCTACGGCATCATTGTGAAACCCTCCGTTTGGAACCTTTATTTTTTTAGGAGTAAATAAAGAAAATCACACAGTTTTGGAACGTTATGAGAGTGAGTAAATGATGACGGAATTTTCTTTTTTATGTGAACTATCCCTAACGCATTTCATCTTCACAATATTTGTATAACATGTTTTACAGGATAAGCACCATTTGAAGCCAGTGTAAAATAGACAATAAATGTACACCTGTGACTGCACATCAGCTTAATTCTACATTACTGTGCCAAGGTATTAGTAATAAATATAAGTATTTACTGAACACTGGTGTAATTTATTCTATAGCTGTCATTGCCATTTTATAAAAGCAAATAAGCCACACAGGCGGTGTGTTACTGTGATTTTACCACACATAACATAAGGGGGTTTCAGGCACTCTTGTGGATTATTGTAGTTTGCCCACAGAAAGGTACATTTAACATATTTTTCATTATAACTACTCCTGGGAGGTCAGGAAACTGCTCTTCACTGTTCTTCACGCCAACTTCTGTTTAATAGCTTCAAAGACAGATATCTTTTTGTAGTTGACATGCTTTTTACTTGGCATTTAGTATCTTAGTGCTTAGCACAGCGTGCCAACACAAGCCACAGCCTTATGGAATATAAGAATAAATCAACAAAATGCTCAGCTCCACAGACAAATGTCAAGGCTTTGTCCATCATCACATATAGTGAATATTAAAAAATATCTATGAATTGCTGGCGCAGGTAAAACATTCATTCTTATCCAAGATGGGCTGTGTTTCCCAAAGCAGATTAGTGACCCAAATGTCTTCTTTGTGACTAGATTTCTTCCCTTCAGAGCAAAGTGCAAATTTAAAGAGTATAGCGCTGCCAACATGTTAGTGGTTAACCTCATTGTAAACAAAGAAGGCCACCAGGTTCCTGAGTCTGGATAGGCTACACCGGTATAAGAGCAGGCTTTTAGAAATGGGTTCTTTCTTTACAGAGAACTTAATCTTCATGTAATATCTCACACCATTATGGGAAAGCTAAACAGCAGTCATTTTGGTTGATTTCCTCCACTTATGTCAGCTTATATTAGGGTGTGTTACTATACCCGGCAATGCATCTAGAAACAGAATAATTCCAGTAAATAAATGTATATAAATGACGTTTACTTACTGTTGATACATATTAAATTTGTACTTACAGGGTGAATCTGTAATCGCAGAGACTCTGTAATAATATTTTGATTCAATGTATTATAGGGATGCACTGATGTTAATGATGAGGCAATAATTATTTTCATTGTATGGCCGATAACATTCATTTTCATAATCTATACTACAAGAGAAGTTAGGAACCACAACATTATAATGCAGAGAATGAAAAACTGAAATAAAAAAAAACGCTCCACAAGATGTTAATTGATAGACTGGAGTGGTGTGAATTGCTTGTGCATTATTGTGATGTTTTTATCAGCTGTTTGGACTCTCATTCTGACGGCACCCATTCACTGCAGACCATCCATTGGTGAGCAAATGATGTAATGCCAAATTTCACCAAATCTGTTCTGATGAATAAAATTCATCTATATATTGAAATGCCTGAGGGTGAGTACATTTTCAGCAAATTTTCATTTTTGGGTGAACTTCTTTTAACAATGAGCCAATAAAAATGTCCTTTTTTTATAATATACTCTCCACATACATCATTTCTTATAATTTATCATGTCGATTTTCAGGAGAGCTACTGTCATTAATTAAGATGAATGGGAATCCTAACGGACAGCTCCAGGTATAATATACCTCCTTGCTAATATCAGTGGTAGTCTTTTAGTATTTTAGTTTATATTTTAGTATCCAAGTGTAAAGCTTCTCTCAAGTAGATTCTTAAATGGAAAAATATTACTGTTTATATCCTGCTCTTTCACAACTGTTAACATTATTACATATTATTAACACTCCTGATCTTACTTAAGGCACTGGAATTAATGGTCAAAGTCTTGGCCTGCAAAAACAAGGGTTATAAGTTAAATTACAGGTGGGAGTTACCCATGAACTGAGAATTAATGAGATCCCATTCAGTTCTTTAAGAATTCTGGCACTTGACACAAGGTTGCTTCAGAGGGACTCTATCTTTTATTTGTGCACTTTAAATTGCTTATGATGGAAAGCGTATCTATTAAATATGTCATTACACTGGTTCAATGGACCTCTGCGGGAATAATGGCCCGCTGTTGCCTGGAAACTACCAAACAATCGCACAGATGTGTGATGCTGCCGGGTCCAAGGCTCCAACTGGATTTGCTGACCTCAGAATTGTTGGCTAGGATAACATGATCTTTCAAACTGATGTCATGGAAATGTTGCATAATGCAAACAGCAGAATACTGATAGTCTGATGGTTTTTGAATGCATAAACAGTGGCAAGTTAAACATCACATATTACAAACATTTTAAAGCCTCTAGAGACCACGCATTACATTGTGTCAGGAACCCTGAGCACATGAGGTTTGTGACATTCAATGATGTACAGTGACATAACTTGCACAATAACATCTAGCAATGCACAGATGAATAAACAATAAAATAATTTGGCTTCCCATTAGAGATGCACCGATTGAAATTTTCTTGGCCGATTCCGATTTCCGATTTTTTGTTAGTGTGATTTGCCGATACCGATTTTTGTCGATACCGATTTTCTTTCTATAATTGA